CCCCAAAACCCCAAAACCCCAAAACCCCAAAACCCCAAAAATAATTAAAAAAGTTGAACAATATTAACAACATAAAATATAATGAAACCTCAAACGGTTCAGAAAGAAATTCCAAGACATAAAAGAACAGGAAGTTTGCCAACATCACTGAAGAGCTTTGCAGCAAAGAATATAGCAAAAGTGTTTGTGATGAAAAAGTCCAAATAAAGTCAGGAAAAGTGGTAAATATTTGAGAGAGTAGACATTTGGTTCCTCCATTTTAGGCTTGCCCAAAATGATCTATATAAACAATCTTTATAGTTCAGTATTTTTAAACCCATACGAACAATTAAGTAAACCCTGTTGCAAAATTGTGACCTCTTTAATGATAAATTCTGAAGTTATAATCAAGAATTGGTGTAGATGGTAGTTTTTAATAATAAAACTCTCAATCCAAATTGACACATTATTTTTATTTTGCTATTCTCTACAAGAGATTCCGTAATCCCTTTGGTCAGACATCGATGTTAAGAAACCAATTGAAAATTATCATAAACATTAATTTAATAGCTTTAAGCATTGTTAATAATTTTTGAAAAGTTTCTTCAGTCATTACTCCTAATCTAATCTTTATATAGTTAGCAAAGGTAAGGCTTAAACGTAAAATCTTTAGACAAAGTAGAAGGACCTCCTGTCAAATTACAACGTATTCTCTAGTCTTAATTTGTAGGAAAAGGAACCAGAGGAATGAGTGTCTTCTCCCTTAACTCCAGAAATGGGCTCACCAGCTCATGGAAGTCAGAGGCCAACTCAAAGAAATCTTTCAAAAGGAAAGGGACTTTATTCTTTAAGGATGGTTCAGTGAAAAGGCTTAAAAGAAGTAAGTATCAAGCTTAAGTTTTCCTTTATATAGATTTATAACCATACCATATAGAAGCATCCAATTTTGTTAATATTACTACTATCCAAAGACTGAACAAGATCGAAGAAAAACGTAAGAAGGAGCAACTTGAGAAGAAACTAGCTCTTTCTAACCAACAAAGGAAGTACCTCCGGAAGTATCTAGTTTGATTACACATTCTCAAAACAGGACTTATGAAATGAGCATACTACTTTTATACCGAGAAACAGAAGAAGAATAAATCTAAAAAGAAGAAGAAAAAGAACAAAGAAAAGACTTATAGGATTCTTTTGTCGACTAATTTTATCAGAAACCTTAATGATGAATTTAAAGAGGAGGATATAAATTCTCCTCGTTTTATGGCATTTCAATCAGAATATAATATGGTTAAGTTAAAGCACCCTAAATTCAACTCTGAGAATGACTCTAAGTCAAGAGTTATGTCTTCTGCCCAAAATATCGATCACATAGATGAAAGGCTCACTGATGAAGATAGTAAGCCTCTTTATTAACCTATAGATTCTCTTAATACATCTCAGTCATTGCCTCAGGTTCAGAAGAGATTGAGTGAATCAAAGAATTTGCTGAGCATACAGAAGACGGATAAATACAAGTTTCCTTTAACGAATTACAAAAGGTCTATTTCGAAAAACTCAAAGGGTAGTACTAAGCCTCCGCTTTATCAGAGCGGATCAAGTCACAGGTTTCCACCTATTAAGACTCCAAAAAGAGGTAAGGACATAAGCAATAAGGGTAAAAATAACCCCAGGAACGTTAAGGGAGCAAGTAGCACACTTAAAAAAGGATTTCACGAGTTCAGCGTAATAAAAGCATCTCTTGAGAGGATGAAGAAAATTAAATAATTCACGACTAAAATTTTCCATCATAACAATTGTAAGGAGAGATGTTACACTTCTTTTGACAGAGTTGATATCTAGTAGTCTTATCATTACAAACTAGGGTGTCTTTTTAAGGGAAAAAGTATCAATTTTGAGAATGAAGAGGTAGAAAGCTGTCTTAAACAATTTTTTACTTTTAATGCAGTCTACCAAAGAAAGAAGTTATTTTCTTTGATAATATTCTGATCAATTTCTAAATTTCAGTATCCTCAGATATGTTTCTTGATTACCAAGATGAGAGATTATATTCTTCTTAACAATTATGTTTCCCCCTTGCTACTCTCACAAAATTCATGAAAAGTTATGTCCAAGTGATGTCTACTCACTTGTTTCAGTTCCTTCTGTATTTTCAGTTAAGAGTTTCTGTTTCCTGAATATTTAAAGTTTCTGATATAAAAGCATGTTGTTTATTATTTAAGATACATAAATATGCTTTGGATGAGTTCAAAAGTTTATAAAAATCAATAAACTACATTCTGGATTTATACATAAGTTCTTCTAACCTTGCCATCTCTATGAAAATAGTGAATAATAATGCCGAAGCTCAGTAAATTATTAACAGTTGGATAATATCTGCATAAAAAATACCTTTCAATTTTGGTTGATTAAGAAGGGGTTTTGGGGTTTTGGGGTTTTGGGG